CAGAAACCTGGAATCCTATGTCCCAAGCACAGCGACAACTGTCACAACTCACAACAAAGCTAGGACTCTGATAAAACCGTCAACAATGAACCGACTAAACCCTAAACTCTAAACCCTCAAACAGTAAACTCTTGACAAAGAGCCCCAAACCAAACCTCTCAGCCCTGAACCCTCATTGTCCGAAGCTTTCATAATTAGTGTTTAGGGTCCAGGGTTCAGGGTCTAAGGTATGGGGTTTACGGTTTGGGGTATGGTATATATATATGTACATATTAGGGACTACAACAAAGGAGATACTGTTAAAAAACACTAAACCCTCAACCCTCGCCCTTCTAGCAGACAAGGAGCCAAATTCTGAAGGCTGATCGCATGACGGACCAACTCCTCATTCCAGCTTGCCAGAAAAGTTGTGGGTTGTAACTTGTGAGGCTTTAGGGCTTTGGGTTCCCAAAAGGGTTCCTGAACGGGATCTATAAGGGTTCCATAGGGGCTCCTTTCAAAGGAATCCGCAATTTAGGGTGTAGGGTGCAGGGTTTAGGGGTCTCCTGTTTGAAACCTTGGAGCTTAAGTGTCAACCCTAAGCCGCAAACTCGGAACTGAAGATCCTCATGAACCCGCCACCCAAATCAAAGCCAAAGGTTTTTAATCCCCTAAACCCTAAACCCTAAGCCCCTCAACCCTTCCCCCTAACCCCCACACCCCTAAACCCCTGACCCCTAAACCCCTAACCCCTAAACCCTTAACCCTTCAACCCTTCAACCCTAAACCCCGAGTGCCAACATGCAAGCCGGGGCTCGTAAAGCTCGTCGGCATCCTGGCTCCACACAGTTTGAGCATTTCTTTAAGGCCTTATGGGGATTAGGGTTTAGGGTTTACAGTTTCAGCACTTCGTGATTAGAATAGGGCTTTGGCTTGAGGGTTTAGTATAGGGCCTTAGAACATGCTTTTGGGGTATCTTGTACTCTACAAGTACCTGTACAAAGGAAGCCTGGGAAAATCAGTCGGGGTTCTGCCTCTTAACACGGTGGCTGGAGCGGAACATCGGCTGCGGCAGAAGCAAGAACTGTAGAACCCGCGGTCTTGCGGTGGCGATGATGGAGTGATGTTCACATTGCCACAGAGATGGGCAGTACCGTAGTACCGGTTTACGATCAATACACAGCGTTTGGAATGACACTGATGTTCGGATTGAGAACTCTTGGTGTTATTTAGGGGCCTTAGTCTATTAGTAGCTCGAGTAAGGTTTTGGGGTATTTTTTAGTCTTGGTTTTAAGCCCTAAACCCCCTAAACCCTAAACGAATAGTATTGCTGCAACAGCTCCAGTCGTTCTACTTGGAGTGTAGTTAGAAGTAGGGTTGATAAGGTTCCTTTAAGGGATCTATAGGCGCTCTATAAGGGTTCTATGAGGGCAAGTTCACGGATAGTTAGAAGTCGGGTTCATAAGTGGGATAGGCATAGTTACAACCTATCTTATAGGGGGACTTATAAGCCCCACTTATGACACCCGTGAACCTCCAAGCAAGCGTGAGGATCGCCCCCTAACAGGCGGTTGAGCTCGAAGATGAGATAGCTGCTAGAAGTACTTCATGCGACTTCGCTCCACAGCGCGGGCTCAAACCGCCGGAGCAGCACACCGACGACCTTCGAATTCCCTAAACCCTAAACCCTTAACCCTCAACCTTACACCCTAAACCCGATACCAATCCCTAAAGACCCTAAACCCCTAAACCCCAAACCCATGGACGACCTTCGAATTCATGCACCTCAAGCGCCCTAGTTCGCCTTGGAAGTCCTGAAGCGCCAAGTGCGATTGTGGCCAGCAGGAGGGAGTTTCCGAAAATAGGGGACCCTAATATAATACCCTAAATACTAGGATCCTTATTATAAGGACCCCCAAATAGGTACCCCTAATTTTCGGAAACTCCCAGGAAGCCTTGTGGATAACAAATCTGCGCAGAGCCGATTGGGGTGCCACGGCCTGTGTGGCCAGAAGTGCCTCATCTTACGTTTCCAAGCAGTGGTACTCCGTTACACCAGTGTCCACAAGAGTACTGGCAATCTCGTCAGCCTCGCTGCCAAGGGTAGCGGTATTACTGCCAGTGACATAGAGCTATAGCCTGTACAAGGGCACGTATAACCCTACCAAAAAGCTGTTATAGCTGCCCTAAACCCCTAAACCCTTCAGGCCCACTTAAGAGAAAGAGGACGTCTAGGGTTGAGGGTGGTTGGGTAAGAAGTTGAAGGATCAGCTCTTGAAGCTCCATTATTTCGGCGTGTAACGGCGTCCAAGAGCACATCTCACCGAACCGATCTGTGTTTTTCACCTAAGAACAGCCGTGTAAGCACTCTCCTCGATCCTAAACCCAATTCCCTAAACGAGCATGCCTAGGTATAAACATCTTTAGGGTTTAGGTTTATGCATCCTCAGTAAGCAGAAGGGAGCACTCTGCAACTTGCAATTGCCACAGTCCTTGATAGCAACAAGCAGCTTGAGCGAAAAGATCCAAGCTGATTGCGCAAATAAGCACCTGAATCCTACACTCCAGAATCGACACTCTAGGTTTGGAAAACTGAGAGCCTAAGCCTCGTTCGGGGTTGAGGGCTCTGGGATCTAGGATTTGGCGTCGTTAAGGCTCAGAATGCCAAGTGTTCTCGAGGCCTTCAGCATTTTGCCTGCTTAAAGGATCATGGGACTTAGTAAGTATGATTATAAGTACCTTAATTGGGGTTATGAGTAATTATAAGTCTAGTTACCCGAGTAATAACCCCAGTTACTAAGTCCCATGATCCTCCAAGTGGCCTCCTAGCCCTAAACCCTAAACCCCTAAACCCTAAACCCCTAAACCCTAAACCCTAAACCCTAAACCCCTAAACCCTAAACCTCTATGATCCTTTAAGTGGGGCCGCGGGCCTCCTGCACGTGGGCGACCCGCTGCTGGAACAGCTCCGCATAGTCTTCACCGATGGCCTGCACTGAAGCGAACCCAGAGAGCCCCATACCCCTTAATTAAGGAATTGTAGGGTTCCTTTAAGGGCTCCTGAAAGGGGTTCTGTAAGGGTATGAAGGAATATGGCTTAAATTATGTAGGGCTTCATATTATGATTTAAGCTCTATTCCTTAATTAGGGGGTATTGGGCTCTCTGGGAACTGAACTGGCAACTTTTGGGTTGGGCATACCACATATGGCTGGTTGTCAAAATTATGGTCCCTATTTGGGCACCCTAAATATTAGGTGCCGTACTATATAAGGGACCTTAACCCCAAATAACCTACCTGTTTAGGGACTTATATAAAGAATTCATATTAGTGAACCCTTACAAAAGTAGGTTCCTTGGGGACCCAAAAAGGGACCATAATTTTGACAACCAGCCATCTGGTATGCGGGCTAGGGTCTACGGTTTTCGATGAGTAGTCGCGTGGCCGTCGGCATCGTCGTCGACCAGTACTAGTACTACTAGTAGCAGATTCAAGAGCGGCAGCGGCAGCAGCAGCATCAGCAGCAGCATCAGCAGCAGGAGGAGTAGCAGTAGGAGTAGCACCTGTAGTAGCACAACCGGCCATTCCCTAGACCCTGAACCACTCATAGAAACTGGCGTTGTTCCAAGCCGCCTTTCGGAGCTCATCTGACGCCGCGATGCGGACAATGTCTCCCAGATCCATATGAGGCTTTTAAACCGAATGATCCTGAAACTAAAGTCTGCATGCGTGAGAGCTTACTGAGATTTAGGGTTTAGGGGTTCAGAGCTTAGGGCGTGGGCCTGCAACTCACTCAACACTGGTCTTATCACCTCCGGTACGTTCAATCCTTGATCCTCATCTCGGCTCGCTCTACTTACCTATTTTCGCCGCTGTACTGCATTTTCACTTTTTGTTGGGTTAAAGGGCTTGTGGCTGGAGCTGCCTTCATTGAGGGTGGGAATAGGGACAGGGGTGCTGTCGACGGACTCTAACTTAAAACCGTTGGACCCTAAGTGTGAAAGGTGCGAGGTTCCAGGGTTTGCGGTTCAAGGGTGTGGGGGAGTTTATGAGTTGCGCCTAGGGTCCGTAGGGTTATCCCTGCGGTTAACCCTGCTTGGAGGTTCATGGGTATTTATTATAAGTTCAGTTTACAAGTAGATGCTTATCATAGCTATGGCCTGTAAAAGGGTACCTATAGCCCTACTTATCGGCACCATGAACCCCTTAATCCTTAAGGCCCACTTACAGCTACCCACGAACCTCTAAGCACCCTGTGGCACACGTGTCGCGTTGAAGGTTTACGGTCTCGGTGCTATCCTGGAGGTCTAAGGATGATCTGAAAGTAGTTCCTTTTTGGGTTCATATTTAGAATCTTGTATGAGGTATTCCTTCAAAGGAACTACTATGGGGCCTCTGGGTGTTGCCTGGGCTCTTGCTAGGGAACGTAATGCTACAATTGACGATCGACCCGTATAATGGCAGCTTAGATTAGGTTCCTTACAAGGAGCCCAGCTGTTGTGGTGGACAGCCAAGCGCATGAGCCAAGTGGCTAGCAGCGGCTACACTTCTGCGGAGACATGTCACAGCAACTTGGACACCACTGGGCTTCAGGTTGCACAGTTTGCTGTAAATGCCTACGTGCGTCCATTTGCCGCGCCAGTGTTGCAACGGTCGAGCTCAGCTGGGTCTTGCTGGGGGCATGATTGCCTCTCGCACTTCTGGCGACCCAAACTCAGAGAGCGAGCCGACCGGAAAAAGCTTCTCGTCGGCTGCTGAAGACTGCTACTGAAAACTCTACCTTGAATCGATGATTACATCAAAGGATACATGTGAACTGTCGAGAACCCAGGGACACCCATTCCTCCAAGAAGAAATACAGCTTCTCCTTATCTCTTGTAGGAATACTCTTTTAGTATTGCAGTAAGGCTTCTAGTCTCCCTGCCCTAAACCCTAAACCCCAAAAAACCCTATACCCTAAACCCTAGTAAACCCTAAACCCGGCTCCCTGGCGGAAGTTCACAAAGCATCGCCCCCTTACGCTCACAGGCCGAACTGCTCGATGGCATCCTTGCCCGTGTACAGCTCTGCAGCGATGATGCCGATGGCCGCAAACATCGCGAATCTGCCGTTGTTAATCTCCCGCTCCCTCATTTCCTGTTTAAGGATATTTAGGGTCTAGAGTCTAGGGTTTAGGATGCTTCAAACATCGGATCGCTGCCTTACGGAACATTCTGACATGTTCTCCGCACATCCAGCTAAACCAAAACCCACCGCAGCTGCACCAGGCCTGGGTGTACTGGTTCTTAGTAGGGAATAGGGGAATGGATCCCTACGATAGTCCCTCAAGGGTCCCTGAAAGTAGTCCCTATAACCCCTTCCTCCATTCCCTACTAAGAACCAGACAGCCCACTAAGAACCCTAAACCCCTATAGTATAACCCTATAGTAACCCTTAAAGGAATCCTTAAAGGAACCCTTAAAGGAACCCTTAAAGGAACCCTATCCCCTACTACGGTTGATGATATAAATCCCGCATGACCCATAATAGGGAATATACCATCATTCCCATAGTCCAGGGTCCTTAAGGTAATGCAGGGTTTATCACATCAACCGTATTCCCCTTATGGTAACCGTAACCCTCAAAGTAACCCTTAAAGGAACCCTTAAAAAGGAACCCTAAACCCTAAACCCTTACCAGCCATCTCCTGGGTGTACTGGTTCAGGCCGGCCGGATCGCCGAAGTTGCCCGGCTCCTTGTCGGGGCTCTCGGTCCAGGCGCCGAGCTCCAAGATACCTGGGTGGTTATCAAAATTAGGGTCCCTTCCTGGGTACCCTAAATCATAGGTGCCGTGTTATGATAAGGACCCAAAAAGGGACCCTAATTTTGACAATCACTCACCTGAGAGTGAATCGAAGTTAGGGGCCCTTTTGGGGTAGTTTGAAGGATTTAGGGGACCAACAAAGATACCTGAAAGTTAGTCGAAGTTAGGGGCCCTTTTGGGGTAGTTTAGGGTTTAGGGTTTAGGGCTTAGGGTTTAGGGTATAGTTTAGGGACCAACAAAGATACCTGAAAGTTGCCCGAAATTCTGGGGGCCCTTTTGGGGGAGTTTAAAGGACCCTAGTGTAGTCCTTATAGTTTAGGGGACCAACAAAGATACCTGAAAAGTTGATCGAGAATATGGGCCCTTTTGGGGGTCTGTACTTTAGTATACCCCTCTGTAATATAGTACCTATATTCCTGATTCAAGGGGCCCTGGTTAGATTTCTTATGCTTTAGGGGACAAAAAGGGGCCCATAATTTTGATCAACCCCCCACCTGCCACCGCAAAGAGCGCCACGAAGCCGTAGCTGCCTGGCGCGGTGATGGACGCTGCAAGCCCGCTGGGCACGGAGTCAAAGCCCGGGAACTTGACCTGGGCTTTGAAGTAAGCAGGGGAAGAAAAGTACAGACTTTTATTTCATAATGGCTCCTAGCAAGTCCCACAAAAAGTATTAAAGTACGATACTCCAAAGCCCAGTGACGTAGTGCTGAACCACGGCGCCCAAGGCTGCCATCATGGCAACACCTGCGAGCAGACTGTTCCCGCCGGGCCCCCCGGCACAGGGCAAGTCCACAATGGAGAAGGCTTCATCTCAAGACTTAAGAACCCAAGTCTAAAAAGCACGGCAAAAGCGTCTTCTGCTTGTATACAGAGGTATACTCATACTACTTCTGCCGTCTTAAAAGGCTAAGGCACGGCCGTGCTTGATCTCGGCAGCACGCAAGGTGCGGAAGCCGTCCTCGTCGCCCTTCTTGCTAAACCCAGCCGGATCAAAGAAGCCAAGCGGGTCCATGGCGCCGATCTGCCTGGTTTTTGCTCGCGAGAACTGCTCCCGCTGCTACGGCCACTACGACGACGACGACGACTACGACTACTACCACTACTACTTCAGGTTATGCCAAGAACAAAAAATCTTTGTTAGGATCCCAGCTGCGTGGAGGGGTCGAAAGTCGGGCTAGGGCCCTTCTTGCCAACCACGCCCTCGCCTTTCGACAAAGAGCCCGCACCGGCTGTGCCGGCCACAGCCGAAGTGGTTGCAGTGGCGCCCTTCGCGGCTGCCGCTGCCTTCACGAAGGTGGCCCCGCACTTTCTGTCTGTCCCTCTCTCTCGCTCTCTCTCTGTCTCTCTCTCTGTCTCTCTCTCTGTCTCTCTCTCTGTCTCTCTCTCTGTCTCTCTCTCTCTCTCTCTCTCTCTCTCTCTCTCTGTCTCTCTAGTTGAACAGTTGGCGCAGATTTCCCAAGCAAATCCCATGATTGCACGATGGTGCCATGCGAGTCGGGGCTCGAGCTTCGTCCCGAAACCCTCGAGCAAAAAAGTTACCTCACAGACCGTCAAAACCTGTAGCACAGCATATTAGTATACTGAATAATGCAACATACAATACAATAGAGTATGATATACCAATCTATCATGCCATATAACTTACCATAACCCTAAACTCTAAACCCCAAACCCCCAATTCCTAATCCTAATCCCTGAACCCTAAACCCTACACCCTCAACCCTAAATCCCCAATACCCCAAGTCCCCAATCCCTAATCCCTAACCCCAAAACCCTAAACCCTATACTAAATCCCCAATCCTCAACCCCAAAACCCTAAACCCTAATCCCTAAACCCTAAACCCTAAACCCAAAACCCTAAAGCCTAATCATAAATCCCCAATACCCCAAATCCCCAATCCCTAACCCCTAAGCCCTAACCCCTAAACCCTAAACCCTAAACCCTAAATCCTAAACCCAAAACCCTAATCTAAATCCCCAACCCCTAAACCCAAAACCCTAAACCCTAATCATACACAGAGACCCCGGAGAGGCCTTCGCAGCTGCCGCCGCCGCCGCAGCCGCCGAGACGGGCTCAGCCCTCAAAGGCGAGGCCTGGCATCATTGATATAGGGGGGTTTATGTTTGTTTTTTTTTTAAGGTTTTCGTTTTTTGATTGAGGGTTTGAAGGGGCTACTGGTTTAGGGGTTTAGTCTAGGATTAATTGATATAGGGGCCTTTTAATAGTTAGAATAGGGTTTCATAGGGCTCCTTTAACGGGGTACTATAGGGGCTGCAAGTTCTATAATGTAGGGGCCTTCCCGAGAGCCTCCAAAACCCCTTAACTGAGGAATATACCTTAAATCATAATAGGATCCCTAATATGATTTAAGGTATATTCCTTAATTAAGGGGTTTTGGAGGCTCTGAATCCGCAGCGACCCTAGAAAAAGGGTTTAAACCCTAAACTGTTTAGGGTTTTGGGACTAGGAAGTATAGGGATACAAAAAGGGTTTAGGGTTTAGGATTTGGGGAGCAGACTACCCTAAACCCTAAACCGTTTAGGGTTTAGGGATTAGGAATGTTTTTAGGTCTTGTTTAGGGATGTAAAGAGGGTTTAGGGTTTAGGCTTCAGGTTTAAGGATTTTCAAAAAGGGTTTAAGGTTTAGGGATTATTAGGAATAAGAAAAGGTTTAGGATTTAGTGATCCTAAACGCAAAACCCTTTTGGTATTGTGAGGCTTTATACAAAACCTTGGATTCGTAAAAACAAGATAAAAAAGGCAGAAGGGACCACTGCGAGACCTGGTTTAGGGTTTAGGGATGTAAACAGGGTTTAAGGTTTAGGTTTCGGGGTTTGGGAATTCAAAAAGACTTTAAGGCGTAGGGATATAAAACACGTTCAAGACTTAGGGACCCTAATCCCTAGCCCTTTTGGAATTTTGAGGCTTTATAAGGAGTTGAATCTTAGAACCACAAAAAAGGGAGTAAAACAAGATACCACTGCGAGACCTAGAGGCTGTGTACAGGCTCCAGTCTCCCCAAGCGGAGCCAGTGAGTCCGTCCTGGAAGAACATGCCTTGGCACGAAGTTTGTAAGTTTCGGGTACTTGCCTTGGCTTTCTGAGTTTAGGTGGCGTCCTAAACCCGAAAGCCCGAAGATGCATCATGAAGATCTCTTTGACAGGATATGCTCTCTTCCATCATCTGTCATCTTCTCTACTTGTCTTGTCACGTAGCATCCTTCCCACTTCTCTCCTGTAACAAAGAACACCAGCACCCTCTAGTAAATCCATGCGGGTAACTGTCAAAATCATGGTCCCTTCTGGGGAACCCTACAACATTCTACTCTTCATTAGGCACCCTACAGTTTGGGAGCCAAATAGAAAAAACCTAGTTTTGACAACTACCCATGTAAATCCCCAATTAAGAAATCCTGGCCCTTTAACCCCAATATATTGGGATCCATATGCAGAACCTTAAAATGGACACAAAGGTTACTTAATCAGGCTCCTACATTACACTAAGTCCATATAAAATCGTGAATAATGTAGGACACTATGCTTCCTTAAACAAGCCTTATTTTTAAGTCCTTATTATATAGGTATTAAGACCCCCTACCCCCCTCCCGCCTACCCCCCTAAGGGTCCTTCTGATAATAACCTCGAGTGGCCGATGATGGCCATCATCGCCAGCCGTCCGTTGGCCAGCTCGGCAGCGAGCTTTTTTTTGCGCTCCTCAGGGTCCTGGTGGTTTTCGGGGTTAGGGTTTAGGAGTTTAGGGCTTTAGGAGTTTAGGGGTTTGGGGGTTTAGGGGTTCAGGGGTTAGGGTGTAGGGTTTTGGGGTTTAGGGTTTAGGGGTTAGGGCTTTAGGGGTTTCCTGCCCGTCCCCCACAGCTGGAAGATGCTGGCACATAGGGGCACTAAAACTTGAATAGGGTTTGGGGTTACGTAGTTGTACTCACTTTATGTATGGGAACCATGAGGAAAAATATCCGACCCCTGTAAGATCATACACATACTTTTTGCAAGGCTGGCAACAAGAAAAGCAAGGCTGGTGATGATGAAACCATGTGGATAAGAAAGAACACCATTCTGCCGATGGCACCGGTGATGATGACGACTAAACGACTAAACCCTAAACCGACGATGATGATGATCATGACCATGATGATGACCATTGGGATGATGGTGACGAGGAGACCAAGAATGAGAAGCGCGGCTAGGGGTGGGATGAGGCTCCACAAGAACACACACACACACACAGAAAGACTTCGAAAATAAACAAATTAGAAATTTAATTTGAACCTTTCAGCCCATACTCCACGCATAGCCCGTATAAGTGTCCCATAACATCCACAGACCTACGGTTGATGATATAGATCCTGCATTACCCATAATAAGGAATATGCCATAATTCCCATAGTTTAGGGTCCTTAAGGTAATGCAGGATTTATATCATCAACCCTAAACCCCCTATAGATCCCTTAAAGGAGCCCCTTATGAACGGTACCCTTATAGATCCCTTTAAAGGAGCCCTAGGATTTATATCATCAACCGTACCTTAGTATGTCGGTTCTTGGAGTCCTCCACCTTGCCCAGGAAAGTCGGGAAGCCCACGCCGTAGTTTCCCGGCTCGCCGGTCCTGTTGCGATTCTGCTTTGAGGGTTCAGGGTTCAGGGGTTAGTGTTTAGGGTCTAGGCTTTAAGGTTTAGGGTTTAGGGTTTAGGGTGTAGGGTTTAGGGTTTAGGGTTTAGGGTTTAGTGTTTAGGGTTTAGGCTTTAAGGTTTAGGGTTTAGGGTGTAGGGTTTAGGGTTTAGTGTTTAGGGTTCACCCTAGTCAGTTTTGGCGATGTTATGATTCGCATCTGCGCAGCTGCTATCGATAGCATCAGTACCCGCTAGTAGCAACTCACGCGAATCCTACGTCATCGCATCACGAAGAACTTGGTCTTGAGGCTTGTAGTACCCGTACTTCCGACGTTGCTGCTGCGAAATGACACAGTCATCAATGTGTAGATGGTCACAAGCATCAGAACTATGAATTCCACCCACCCAATACCCAGCACCACACATCTTGCATGCTGCCAAGTCACTCGGTGGAGTCCTTCATGGAGAACTGGCCCTCCCGAGGACCACGGCCATCAGTTGTGGAAGCCGCCTGGAAGAATCCTGTCCATGGCGAAGGGACCAACTTCTAAGTCAGCAGCAGTGGTAGACTCACTAAACATATTGCTCTGAAATACTCCAAACCCTCTGCCTCTGACCCCTGCCGATGACGTCGATATCTCTGATTCCTCCTTGTACTTAGCTCTACCTGCCAGCTTGATATCTTCGCTTGATTTGGCAACCTCACTATCCTCGGTAGCACTCTTAGCCGCTATGGTTGCTAGTCCTGCCATGGCTGGCTTTCTCTGCCCGCATCAACATGCTCCTGAACTCTCGACCCATAAACCCTGAACCCTAGACCCCGAAACCCCCCAACCCCTAAAGCCTAAACTCCTAAACCCTACTCCTGTGGTTTCGATCAGCCCAGCGAAAGCGATGATTTGTGCACCGCCAAGCACGGGCAGCTTGGAGAGCGCAGCGAGGCCATTCGGCATGTCCTCACATGCAGGGTTTGGGGTTCCTTTAAGGGTCCCTTAAAGGGATCCATAGGGATTCTATAAGGGTTTAGGGTTTGGGTCTACTTGGAGTTCATGGGTAGTTAGGAGTAGGGCGTATAAGGCTCCTTTATGGGTCTACAAGGGCTCTATAACGATTCTATACGGGTTCTAGAGTTCCCTAAGTAAGGGGGACATACTTGGAGGTTCATGGTACCGGATGAGTTTGGCTTAGGTTTCCAACTTGGGTTTGGGGTTTAGTGCTCCTGCCCTTTCAGGCTCGCTGGCGTAGGACATTGGCTTGGGTCCGCAAACAAACCATGCACAAGTTCTGCTACGCTAGAACACCAGCACGACTCAACCCTAAACCCTAAACTCTAAAGCCTACACTCTAAACCCTAAACCCAAATCTCTAAACCCTCAATCCTCAACCCTCAACCCTCAACTCCCGCAGCATTACGTGCGTACAAGTGGCGGAGAACTTCAAGCCCAGGGATGGGGACAAGAAGCCTGAAACGGTTTAGGGGTATGGGGTTTAGCACTTTTAGGGTTTAGGGGCTTGGGGCTTTTAGGGTTTGGGGGTTTAGGGTTTTAGGGCATTTTAGGGTTTAGGGGTTTTGGGGTGTTAGGGGTTTAGGGTTTAGGGGTTTGGGGTTTAGTTTAGGGTTTCGGGCTTCGGGCCTTTAGGGGTTTAGGGTTTAAGCTTTAACATTTTCCAGCAACAAGACGTTTCGCTTCTCTCTTTCTGGGGAAATCACATGATATCTTGATACAAATCCTGCATGACCCATAATAGGAAATATATCATAATTCCCATAGTCTAGGGTTCCTCAGGTAATGCAGGATTTATATCATCAACAGTCTTGATACACGATCATGGCGGTCTTGAGGACGCTTTCTGGTTGGAAGCGCAAGCAAGCAATGGACTTGAGCCTACTTGGCGGTTCATGGGTGGTTATGAGTAGAGCTTGTAAGCTATACCTATAGCGCTACTTCTAACTCCACTTACAACTACCCATGAACCTCGAAGCACTTGCTGTCGCAGAGCCTGGGAAGCGGAAGTATTCCGGGACAATATAGCCAATGGTCGCATACCTCAGTCACGACTCCTCCTACTGCTGCTGCTGTCGTGATGCCGACTCCGACTAGTACAACTTAAACATGCTCATCACCGGTCTTGCAAGTCTAGACCCAATTGTAACCCAGGAATAAAAAGGGTGCCCTTCTTGGTTTAAAGGGATTTATAAGGGAATCTGAACCCTAAAACGGGAATAAGGGCCTGCTCTGGGTCCCAAAATCGCAACTATCCGGCCGACAGGCATGGCGATGCGGCCGTGCTTGATCTCCACGGCACGGCGGCGCTTGAAGGTGGCCTTGCCCACGAAAGCGTAAAGGACATGCAATGTACAGTACAAAGCTATTGATGACGGGACGAAGACGATGGATCAGCTATGAATCCCCAGCAGTGCTGTCTAGAGACTAATAAAACCATGGAGATACATGTACTGGCTGGCGATGTAGACATATTACGAATAGTAGATGCAGGCATCAATTCCACGACGACGGCCACGACGACGCCCGACGATGATGATAAGGACTAGCACCACTCAACTGCCCTGTGATAACGACTGTATCACTGCTACATGGGAGTGTTCGGTGCCTGGTCCTTGTCCGCGCTGAGACCGAGGGGGTCCCAAAATCCCACGGGATCTTGCACACCCATCTCCTGCACGCAGAGCAACTACACAGCAAATCCTGCATGATACTTGCTGCTGGGACTGTCCGAAAACAGAGGACTTCAACAAGGTACCCTAAACTAGTAGGGTCCATACTCTAAGGACCCCGAAGTAAGATACCCCAAATTGTCGGAAACCCACGAGGTAAGAGCATGTCTTCTGCCGCAATTGGGCGCGAAGCTCCGTAGCAGGGTCGAAGCTGGCGGGAGAAGTGGTCGGGCCGCCAAAGAAGTTGCGGGCGACGCGAGGCTGAGAGGGCCTGACCTCGGTTTAGGGTATTTAGGGTTTAGGGGTTTCGGGTTTAGGGTTCAGGGTTTAGGGTTTAGAGTTTGGGGTTAGGGTTGTAGGGTTTAGGGGTTTAGGATTTAGGGTTTAAGGTTCAGGGTTTAGGGTTCAGAGTTTGGGGTTAGGGTTTTAGGGTTTAGGGTTTAGGGTTCAGGGTTTAGGGTTCAGAGTTTAGTGTTAGGGTTTAGGGGTTCAGGGTTTAGGGTTCAGGGTTTGAGACTCGCCACAGAGGGCTCTTCCTTTTTATGACTCTGATGCAGCCACACCACGGAAGAGCGCGACAGTGCCGCCACCAAGACACCTCGCAAGGCACAAGCCCTCTTTCTCTCTCTGGTCGGCTGCCAGTGCCCTTTTATCAAAACCCTAAACTTCCTACACCCTCCCAAACCCTAAACCCTGAATCCCTAAAACCCCTAAACCCCGTTAACCCTAAACCTCTGAACCCTAAACCTTAAACTCTAAACTCAGAGCCCTGAACCCCAAACCCTACTTAAAGGATCATGGGACTTAGTAAGTATGGTTATAAGTACCTTAATTGGGGTTATAAGTAATTATAATTGTAGTCACCCTAGTAATAACCCCAGTTACTAAGTCCCATGATCCTCCAAGTAAACCCTCCATCCTCCCGTTTTCCGGCACCTGCGCTGGCCACGGTGCCGACGGTCAGCGCCGAGAAGCTGCTGCCGCTGCTGGGCGCCTCCGAGACTGTAGGGTTTAGGGTTTGAGGTTTGGGTTTAGGGTTTAGGGTTTAAGGTTTGGGTTTAGGGTTTAGGGTTTAAGGCTTGGGGCTTAGGGTTTAATATCCCTCAATTGGGGAGAAAAACCCTGAATCACATTGGGATTTTACGATAACTCAGGAAATATTCCTTAATATCCTGATACAATTTACGGTATTCTCCGGATATTGGAAGATCTGCCTCAACGGCATGAGGGGCCGCACGGGGCGCCGGCGCGCTCGGAGCAGCTCCGGGCACGAAGAGCGGGGCAGCCACCTAAGGGAAACAAGAAGGATACACAGACTCTCTCTCTGTCTCTCTGTCTCTCTGTCTCTCCGTCTCTCGGTCTCTCTCTCTCTCTCTCTCCCTCCCTCTCTCTCTCTCTCTCTCTCTCTCTCTCTCTCTCTCTCTCTCTCTCTCTCTCTCTCTCTCTCTCTCTCTCTCTCTCTCTCTCTCTCTCTCTCTCTCTCTCTCTCTCTCTCTCTCTTTGTGTCTCTATGCATACATACAGAAACTTACTATACATAAGATATGTGTGAACAAGCACTATGTATGTATGTATGCATGCATGCGTGTATACACATGTGTGTGCATGTGCACGCGTGTGTATGTATGTGTATGTGTGTGTGTATATACATACACAGTATAAGTACATGTCAAACAAAAACAGCTGAGAATTTGCCCTTGTGTGTGTATGTATGTATGTATGCACGTATGTAAGTATGTATGTATGTATGTATGTATCCTAAACCCTAAACCCCAAACCGTACTTGTCAGGTCAGCTGAGAATATCGGGTCTGCACTGAGGCATGGACCAGGCCGGCGGCCGGCAGAGCCAATGCAAGGCTGCGAGGGGCCATTGCTGGGCGAAGTCTGGGAGGCACAAAAGGGGGAAGAGCCAAAAGTGCTGCCATCGCAGGGTTTAGGGCTTAGGCAGGATTTGGGCAGGGTTTGTTTTAGGGTTTAGGGGTTTGCGGTTTTGGGGTTAGGGTTTAGGGGTTTAGGGTTTGAGACTTCAGTTCGCCTTCCGGAACAGGGCCTCCGGGACGTGGCTTTCAAAACTTGCGTCGCATTCCCCCATGATCTGACAACCCTAAACCCAACATTCCTAAACCCGAAAGCCCTGAAACCGAAAGCCCTGAAACCGAAGCCTGAAAGCCTGTCGGGCGCCGTGCATCTGCGGCGCACTCTTCAGTGCAAGAGCACGGCCCTCACCACTGGGACGCTCGGCCTCGGCATAGTCCAAAGGTTCAGTCGGGGTTTAGGTTTAGGGTTTAGGGATTAGGGTTTAGGGTTTAGAGCAAAAACAGGCCCATGCCCAAGGCATTGCACGATGTAGGGCTTCTGTGCCAGAGGGCCCCTGAGAATCAGAATGAAGCTTTGGGGTAGAGTCTAATAGGTCATAAAACAAAGATGGTATGATAAAACTCAACATAATATAACATCATGCGAGATATTAGAATATGTTACCCTATCATATATACCAGAATAAGGGAACCCTACAGACTAGTCTTTGGTAAATGTTTCAGACCCTTTTCTTAGGAATTGTTCGAAGAAGGCACCTCCAAAATCTACAGGCGTTAGGACAGAGAACTCAGGAACAGATCTGCACGACTAAGTCGTTTTCAGTACCTTATAAGGGGCAACCGCGAACCCTCATACAGATCCTGTCTTGAAGAAGCCGGAAAGACTTTGTTACAAACCCAAGACAGCCCTACAGAAAGCGCTAGAAATTCATGAAAGAACGATACAAACCCCAGCGAACTCTTATAGCATCCTGTAAAGCCTGGTCGAAAACCTAAAACAACCCCATGAAAACCCTATAACAAAGACTTAGAAGACACGTAAACTCTATCTGAATGGGCTGCCTTAACTTCCTCTATACCCCAAGCGCTAACCCCTAAACCCGAGCTCCTTTGAGGGGTCTCTTCAACAATCCCTCAAGGGTTTACGGTTTAAGGTCCCTTACTTAAAGGATCATGTACCTCAATTGGGGTTATAAGTAATAATAAGTGTAGTTACCCTAGTAATAACCCCAATTACTAAGTCCCATGATCCTCCAAGTAGAGGGGCTCGGGTTTATGGCTAGGGCTCCTTTTAAGGGTTCCCTTCAGGGTTCCTTTAAGGGCTCCTTTAAAGGATCCGTTAAGGGTTCCTTTAAGGGTTCCTCTAAAGGATCCCTTTAAAGGTTCCTTTAAGGGCTCCTTTAAAGGATCCCCTTAAGGGATGCTTTTTTCAGGTGCTTCGAGCCCCTCACCAGCTGCCGGGCAAAGCTGCCGAAGGTCTTGAAGGCGAGCGGAGTCGCCTCGGCTTTGGGCTTTGGCACTTGGAGGGTCGGGGGACGTAGTAACTGGTTATTTTAGGGACTTATAAGTACCATAACCCCAATTAGGGCCCCTTTTAGGGTACTTATAAGTCTACTTACTAACTACTTACTAAGTCCCCTGACCCCCAAGTATAGATCCCCTAAACTCAAGGATCCCGTAAAGGGAAGGAACCTTTGACGGGGTTCCTTTTAGGTCTAGGGCTTACAGGGTTTCAGGCTTTTTGCTTTAGGGCTCTGGGCCTTTGAAGGCTTCCCTTTGAGGGGTAGAATAGGCGTTTCCAAAAATAGGGTTAAGGTTTCTTTTTATGGGTTCTGGGGTTCCGGTTATGGGTTAGGGGTGCCTTGTAAGGGTTCCTTCTAAGGCTGTCCTTTCTAGGGTTCTGCTCAGGGGTTCCTGTATGGGTTCCATTTAGCCAGGGTCAAAGAAGGGCTCCTCTCAGGGTTCCTTCTGAGGTTCCTCCATAGGGTATTTCTAGGCTTTGTGCAAAGGCTTCACTATATATGGTCTCGCAGGATTTTGCTGAGTTTCATCAGGTTTTGTAGGGTTGTTTAAGATGAGCCTCATTCCTTAAACTCTAAAACCTTCAACCCTAAACCGATTGATTCTACAAGGGGTCGAAAGGGGTTCTACAAGGGCTCTGCAGGGGTTCGGGAGTCTACTGGCTAAGGGTTGAGGGTATAGGCATAGGGTTTAGCGGTGTAGAAGCATAGGTCGACGCTTTCTTGTTTGGTGAAGGTTTGGTATGTGTGTTTTAGGTTTGTGTGAACTTTAGGCACTTTAGGCGTGTTGCTAGTTGATTCTGTGGGGGTCTTTGTTGAAAGCTTCTTGGACATAAGGATGAAGGGCATTCGGGTTTTGGGTAGGATTCTCATCGTCATACGGCTGCTACAGTTTGCAGTTCCGGTTATACGATGGAGGGTTCTTTTTCTCGTCCACCCTCGGTGAGTAGGTCTTCTTACAGCTCGTCTCCTGGCCCCCTGTGTTCCTGGCTCAGGACTCCGAATGCCCAATCTCCTTGAGCATTCGCTCGTACCACACCACTGGCCTGGCGAAGCAATAGATGTCCTTGGCCCCCGCAAGGTCGACTTCAGTGTCCTCAGGCGGTGCATCAGTCTCCTTCTCGGCAGGCGCCTCCGTCACTTCGAGCTTGTCTTCTTGGCGTTCCTCCATGTTGTCACGGTTGATCTCGCTCTCAGGGTCCATGGCTGCGGCTTTGGCGGCCTGCAGATCCCGCAGAGTATTGTCCGAGAAGACAGCCGGGCCACAGCTACTACCGAGATCCCCAACAACCCTGCCAATCCTACTGATACCTGAAAGCCTGCCCCAGTGCAGACAAACACATCATACAGTCCAAAACCCCCAATTTGACCCTTGAAAAAGACAACCCTGAAGCTTTCCAACCTTTGGAAAGCACCTGACACTCCCCGTAACGAATTAATCAATAGGAATTCTTCGAAGGATTCCCTTTGCAGGGCTCTACAAGGATAACCATAAGGGTTTGGTAGCAGTCACGGGGTACTGCTTTACTCAAGGACGTGGAATCCCTGGGCCAACCCCTCAAGCTAAACGCGAAAAGGCCCTAAACCTCGCAAAAATCCTTATAAAGCTCCTTTACGACTCTTATAACCTCAAGACAAGCCTTCTAAAGCATTTTCATAA